CGTTGGTGTTGGACGAGGAGAAGGAGATGGAAAGGGAGCGCGACTTCGAGGAATCGCTGTTCGCCACCGAAGAGACAGTGATTCCCGGAGAGACCAATCGCGAGACTGGTCTGGCGTCGAAGAAAACCGCCGAAACAGTGGCCGGAGCCGAGCGGCTCATCGAAGCGCTGGACGTGTATCGCGAAGAAGTGGCCGCTCGGCGTGAGTACGACGATAGGTGTCGTGCGGCCGAAACCCGCGGCGATAAACAATTGCCGGCTCCCCCGGCGCCCAATCCACGTATGATGTACTACAAGACCGACTGTCCGCACCGGTACGCGCTGGAAGTGCTGCGACGGATCAAATCCAACGAGTTGGAGGAGACACTGTTGACGCTGCCCTTCAATTATGTGGTGCAGCTGTTGGACGTGTTGGCCGACCAGTTGGCCAGGCGTTGGGATGTGGAGCTCATGTGCCGATGCGTTTGCTTTATATTACGGTAAATATCTATAATCTTAATTATTTTTGGCTAATCTCTTAATCTTAAGTGATATTATCACTGATTATTTGTGTCTCGGATTAGAGAATTGTTATTGTTTTGTAGACTATACAGGGGGAGACAGAGCTGTAGGGGGAGACAGAGCTGGGATTGATGGATGTAATACTTTTTTTTAGCAACTTTGTGTCTCAATATACTGTACCCCTGGATCCCGACCCCTACCACCGCTGCCTTTAATCCCATTGTTGTTTGTTTAATATTTTTTTTGTGATGTTTTAATCCCAATGTTTTTACTCTACTTATAACAAGTGATTGATTGAATGATTGTTTGGTTTTAAATCCTGATTTGTTTTGTCTCTTTGTTTTATTTGATGCCAAATATAGCGTAAACTTTGGCCAAATCGTGTCGACGCCGTCACTGTTACCCACTTTGGATCAGTTGCGACAACTGATGAACGGATCGGTAGCCGATCTTAAGGTATAATTAGATTGGATTTATTTATTGTTGATTTTAATGATTTGCAATGTTTTTTAAATAGTTGTTAAACTTTTTATGATTATGTGTTTTGTGTTTCTTTTGGCATAGATTTGTATTTTATGTGCAATTCGTGTGTCGTTTGCAGCGGTTTTTGTCGATAAATATTTAGATTTAATATATTTATACGAAAATTGTCTAAATGTTGATCATATTTAGGCCATCAGCTCTCTCTCTCTCTCTCTCTCTCTCTCTCTCTCTC